GAAAGAGTATGTGTTTAATGTGATTAATTATGTTTGCATATTTGGTAGAAAATAGCTTATAAAATATGGTGTCTTCTGTTTGTCTTGGAAGAGGTTTAACAGCAGTGAGTACTGTGCTTCAAAATGTGTCTTTTGAAGATGAGTTTTATTTGGTGCTCAGCTTGTTGTTTTAAATAAAAACTCCTTGCATGTCCAGGTGAATGTTTACAGGTGAGGAAGGGAGTCAAAGTAGCCACATAAGAGCACCAGTTATATTAAAGTGGGAAAAAAGTAGTTACCTGAGCTGTAAAACTCTGGAGCTAACATCCTTATTATTGCAAACTAGGACATTGGCTCCATGCCATCTCCAAGTGTGTCAGTCACAAGCTCAGTCTGTGCAGCAGTACTCACCTATTCTTTGAAAGGCTTTTAAATAAACAGCTGACTCCCACAGAGCCTTTGAGGGCTGGAGGTTATGCATCTTACTAACAAACTGTAGAGCAAAGTTGTCTCTTTAAAGTCCCTTCATTTCCTGCCAATGACACTTAACTAAATTGTTCCAAGGCTAGTTTTGTTTAAAGTCTTCTTTCCCCAACTTTTGTCAGGTTTCAGGATCTCTGGATTTGACCACTCAGCCACTCTGTGTTTGAACATTATTCCAAGGGGCATGTCAGATATGACAGTAGTCTCCCTGGACTTCATCCCTGAACTTCTCATATTTTGCTGGCACAGAATGACTGTTTGTAAACTTACGATTGGAGTATCCCTCCATCATGCCATCAGCAAAAGGAAAAACAAGCACTTCTCTGCTGGTTTTGTTTCGCTGCTGCTTGCTGGCAAATTGGCTGGATGCTAATCTTTCAGCTATTTGGGAGAGGATTTTTTTATGGCATTTATGTTCTGTTGTGTGGGGATGGGGTCTAGCACACCAGCTTTCTTTTTGCTTAGGTATGTGGTGCTTTCTTGTGGTGCTTAAGAAAAAAGAAGCACCTTTTTCTCTTCCTTTCTGCCCCTCAGCGAAACTTTGTGCAACTGTCTTCAGAAGAATTTAGTGCTTTCCACACACAACCTAGTAAAATTTTCGTGGACATGATTTCTGTTAAGGGAAACAGTGGAGCATACATAATCCCATGATGAGAATTCATCATTGTAGTGCTGTGCAAATTTACAACATATTGTGTTATTTAATTTAAATAATGCACAGCATGAAATGTTTACTCTGTCTTTAATCATAAGGCCTTCGCTACTAGAACAAAAGTCTGAGATAGCCCCTATCTACCCTATCACCTACTAATTGCCTACATTTACTGATGATAATACTCTTCTGCACGTATATGTAAGAACAAACAAGGCTCTAATGCAATAATTTATTTTTTCAGTCAGACTGGCTGTTAAAACCATTCTTTGTTGCCAGAGTAGGTTAGATGGAACAACATGAAGTCTATGCTCTTCTTTTGTAAGAAGGATGCCAAATATTCCCCTGTAAAGATGGATAGAGCTATAAAGAAAGTGGCAACTTCACCATTGCTTTCTTACCATTCTACACAATCCAACAGAAAATTAAAACCAGTACCAAATTCCTGAAGATGGGTCAAGAAAAATAACAATATCTGTACTGTTCTGTGAGAAACAGGAATTATTTCTGTGCAATACTGTAGGTTTCACTCTAACTAGTTTTTATGAGATTTGCAAAATTAAAAATAGAGAACAGATATGGAAAAATCTTGCTTGGGGATTTTTTTCCTACAGAGAAGAGCCCTGAAGCTATCTCGAGTGCTTAGAGGCACGACTGGTCACTTTAGGAGCAGTTAGATAAGACTTCCAAATTTTAACATACTATTTTGTCTACTAAGTTTATACATGTGTTATGTATGGTATGCAGTCACTGTAAAAATGCAGCACAATGAAAAAGTTGGTTTAAAAATTACCTAAAGATGGGAAGATTATACAACATTTGTTGAATTCCCATCTTTATGATAACTTAAGAGCCTCTATTTGGGTAGATATTTAAAAAGGACAGAGAATTTAATTCCTTAATATTTTAAAAAATGAGGCTTTTTTTTTTTTTCTTTTAAATGTTTATCAGGTTAGTAGTTGCCCAATTTTTAAGGCTAGCTTGTTATATATTTGCTTTTCAGCTCATAATTACTAGAAAATGATGGTAAACAGTAACAAACTAACAGGGCCAGACTTGAGCTTAACGCTAATGTATGTTTGTTTCCATACCTTTAGGGACATGAAGCCTTTCGGAAAGACTTTCAAGAGGAAGAGTTAGTAGACTGCCCTGAAGTTGATACGAGCTTCTCTGAAAAAAAGAACAGGGCCTGGACAACCTGTGATAGGGAGCAACTCTTTTCAGGTACCTGCATTAAATCTCAGCCGTGCTTTTCTGCCAGCTGCTGCAGAGCAGATTAGCGGACATGTCCATAGCACTCAAGCAAGTCTTTAATAAAGATAAGACCTTCCGCCCAAAACGGAAGTTTGAACCTGGAACCCAGAGGTTTGAACTTCATAAACGAGCGCAGGCCTCTCTGAACTCAGGCGTGGACTTGAAAGCAGCTGTGCAGTTGCCCAGTGGAGAAGACCAAAATGACTGGGTGGCTGTCCATGTTGTTGACTTCTTCAATAGGATCAACCTCATTTATGGAACTATCTGTGAGTTCTGCACAGAGAGGACCTGCCCAGTGATGTCTGGAGGCCCTAAGTATGAGTACCGGTGGCAGGACGACGTGAAGTACAAGAAGCCCACAGCATTGCCAGCACCCCAATATATGAATCTTCTCATGGACTGGATCGAGGTGCAAATCAACAATGAGGATATATTTCCTACAAGTGTAGGTAAGTGCAAGGCAGAAGTCCTAAAGCATAAACTGCCTTTCATTCTGTGTACTAAGCATGTTTTCTTCCCACCCTCATTTTTAGGGATTGTGAAATTCAAGCCTTTAAACAGCAGGTGGGGAGGATGAGGGTGTCTTGCAGGAATAGTGTGAAATGTATTAAATGTTAACTGTGGCTGCTAGATATGGTGGGGTTTGTTAGCCTGAAATGTTTGCATTCTAGCCATTTGTCCCTGGTAAGCCTCTCAGATTAATCGCTAAGGGTGGTCAGCATTGCATTATTAGCTTGTTGAAAGCTAATCAAGTTTGCATTGCTTTGCACTTTGCCTAGTCATTTAGGCAGATACAAAATGGATGGAAAGCAAAGCCTAATTAGAGTGGTATCCTCCCTTCGAAGTGTGTACAGCTATGAGTACAAGGCAGTGGAGAGTCACAAATGCAGTGAACTCTGCTCTCCCACCCTCTCCTGACTTCCTGTCCAAAACTGATGAATTGGGAAATGAATTATTCTCAAAATTACTGTTTCTAAGACTATAGATATAACTAACAGTCTTTGCTATGGTTTAACCAGACAGCCCAGATGAGAGAGCTGTTAAGGGCAGCACAATTTTCCTTTTATAATACTATAGTTAGTTTTCCTGAAGAGTCGGGCAAGTAGGTGACAGTATCTTTGCTGGAATAGTTCCCTCTGGACAAGGAGGACTTTGCAGAAGAGTGCATTGTGTAGCGTAGACAGCCTATATCTTTAGCTGTGGCTGCAAGTAATAAGAAAAGACTGGATGTTATACCTTAGAGATGTCAATGTACTTAGGTAATTTTTAGCAGTTTTTGTTAATAAGTCCTGATTCACTTCTTGCAAGTGGGAAAGCTGGGAGCTTGCTGTAAGAAATGTGAAATGTTATATATAAGTACTTGGCCCAGATGAGTAACAAGCAAGAACAATGCTCAGATGTTAAAATTAGTTCAGCTGAATATTTTGTGGTTTATATGCAGCTAGGGCCTGGGGCTAATTGGAAGATGATAACATCAAGAGGCTGCATCTATCAGTATTTCCTGACCTTTGAAATACCTTATTCTTGGACTTGACAGCTATTTCTCTGGACGAACTCGTGGTTTGTTTCCCAGTTCCTATCAGTTTTGTTTTCTACACTAACAGGTAGAAAGAAGGCAGTAACTATATCTTTTAATCTGGACTTTGCCAGCACAACAAGATGAAGGAGGATTTCAAAGGAAGCAGTACCATATATTTTGTGTAGTGGAAAATGGCTTTGATTTCTCAAGCGTTTGTTGTTTTATGTTTCTTCAGGGTGAATGATTTTTGGAATTGAAGGTGAGTTGAAGGTGCAGTGAAATATGTGATTTTGCTTCCATTGGTATTTCTGCAAGCTTTTGTTACACCAAGTTTCCACCTTGGAGTATTCCAATACTAGTCTGTGCTCTTGCAGTTTGCAAATGCAGAAAATGTGGTCTGTCTGCAAGCATGTGGGGCAGGTAACACACTGGCATGCTGATGGGCTTTACCTAGCCAACAAATAATGTATAACACACAAGCTTTCAGCCCTAGATGCTCCTCCCTTGTGTTTGTAGTAAGATACATCTGGAGGAGCTTTTATCTTGAAGGCTTACCTATTATAAGCCTAAGAATGGAATCAATAAATACCCTCAATCTACTGTTTTTCTCCTCCCAGCAGCTCCTGCTGTTGTAGATTAAATCAAATATGAAGAAACTGAGGAAGGGGAAAGACCTGTGGTCTCTAGAATGGAGCTGGACTCTCATACAAGTCAGAACAGGAATGCTTGATGTCTCTGAAAAATCTCTGTCTCACTCTGAATTACCCAAAACAAGGGAAAAAGTCTGCTTGAGCCTTCATGGATTGGCGGACTGTGCCATGGTTGTGTTACAGACCGTGATGACTGGACAGTCCCATAAAGAGATTTTATAGATACCCTTTGGAGCATTATTCCACAGAGCAGCACTTGCATCCATATTCCACTCTCCCCTCCTTTTGAGCCTTTGTTGCAGATACCATAGTGGCCACCTGCACACTTCTTATTATCTTGTTGATTCACCATTTGTGGTATGAAACTGTTGGTAAAATTGCTTGGGAGGCCTTAGATGTTACATCTTCAGAAACAGATGCACACTGCATTGAATTTGGTGCCTCTTCTTGCAGCAAGTCCCTACTTGGGCACACAGAATGGTCAAAGGGAAGCTGGGGTCTGTTCCTGGGTGAGTTACTTTTCTTTCAAGGGAATCTTTCTGATTTCTTTGCACATCAATCCCCTGTCTGTAAAATGGAGATGATAATATCTGCCAGCCTGTCTGAGTACTGCTTATGAAGCTGTTGAATGAAATGCAGTCATGTATATTGTTACATGTTTTGCTTTTCACAATTGATCAGAGAGAGAAACTTTGTTACTGTGTTGGGTACTCTTTGTTCCTGCCGGTTCA